TTAAAGTGGGGCTGGATACTTCAACAGCCCCAGGCCTGCTGGAACAGCCAGGACTTGGTGACTTTGCGGAAGGCCGGGAGGGTAGTGAGGGTCCGAATCTCAACGGGGAGGTCATTCCAGAGGGCTGGACCAGCAACAGAGAAGGCTCTCCCCCGGGGGGTCGCCAGCTGGCATTGGCTGGCAGATGGAATCCGGAGAAGGCCAGGTGTGTGCGATCAAATCGGTCTTTGGGAGGTAATTGGCAGGAGGGAGTCTTTATTTGTGATAAACCAAGCATATTTTTCATATTATGAATACAATCTAGAGTTTCAAGGCTTGCTGTGGATATATGATTTTAATTCTATTCATGTCTCCAGGAGTGTTTGCTTCCTGCTTTATAAACTTCCAACTAAAACCAAATACACTATTTCCAGTAAATAAACTTGAAATGTTAATAATGCCAGGTTTCCTTCCGGAGAACTGAATTTACTCTTTGTCATTCTCAAGGATAAGTTTTAACTTTTTCTCTATAGGTTGCCCGAAAGCTTTCCTGAGTTACAGAATTTAACATGTCTCTCTGCGAATGACATCTCTCTTCAAGCACTACCTGAAAATATTGGAAAGTAAGCTTTTTCACTTACAGAATGTTTGAAACCTAAAATGTGTCACAAATGGACTTTAGATATAAATTTAGATCCTCATGAGTATTTCAGACAACAGTCCCCTCCAGGCCAAGGGCATTGTTAATATCCTGGATCATTTGAACCTGGAGTAGTGGGTCTACTAAAAATGTAGGAATGGAGGAATCTCCATTTCAGCTTCAACTTATGAATGGCATCCAGCACAATTTCAGTCTAGAATCGTCCTTTGGCCCGAGGATGGTTTTAAATATATTCTTTTCTATATAAAATGAAAGTATGCTGCCCTTCAATAAATATATGTAAAACCTATAAACAGTAAAAAATGGGAAATGTCAAAATGACATAATGCAGATAACAGATGTCTTACATGAAAATATAAACTTATAATTCTTCTGCGTATAATTTACATGTTGGCCTCTTAAATGTTTGTTGATGCTTGGTAGAAATAGCTGCGTCACTGATTTTTCCTTGCTGTTACAGCAAGGTTCTCTTGCATTTGGCATAAATGCTTTTCAGTCCTCCAGTTTATTTCTAATTCACGTTGATAGACTTTGGTTTTCAAAGAAAAATGAAAATCCTGGAGGATGGATTCTTTTCCTAAGCATTTCAATCTATAATTCCTGGTGAGGATTTGTTTGAAGTTAAACCATCTTTTGACTGGAATAGAAAGGAGGATCTGCATATTGCATAGAAATTTTTTTTATTTTCCATTTTCATAGCATATAATCATACGTATACTATTACATAGTCAATATCATGTTGTATTATTAAGTAATTACATCAATTCATCTTACCATCAACTACCAAAGAAAGAAAAAAAAGAAAAACCAGTTATTGGCTCTTCTGCTCTCCATACACCATATTTATACCTTATACGACACTTTCTTCCCCCTCTCTCTCTCCCTCCCTTTCTACATCCTTTCTTCCCTCCATCATTTTCTATTCTACTTCCCCTTCCTTTCCCCTTCTCCTCTCTCCCCTTCCCACTCCTCCTTATCCTCATCTTCCCCCTTCACCCTCTCTCCTGTCCCTCTCTTCCT